CACCCCTCCCACCACCCCAAGTACATTCCACTATGCAATCTTAATTGTGGACTCTTGTGATAACCATAATACCCTGTCATACATCCCTTTTAAATTGCTCTCTCCCTCTTCTGTTTCAGTGCAAAATTTATCCAGTTTTTCTCAGTCTTACCCCAACCCTGATATCAGTCCCATTTTATAGCAGTGGCATCATGCAGTATTTGTCCTAGATTATGTCTTCTTATGAGTTTGTAATATCTTTGTTTAGGTTAGCATAAGACTGCACTAACTACTATCTCTATAAAGCTCATAGTAGTAAATATGTGAAATAAATGAGTTCTTTAATACAACATCTTAAAAGGAAAGTTAGGTTCAGTTACTGAAGGTTAAATATAAACAAAAAAGTTAGCTAACATTATGTGGACCTTGTGAAGTGCACTGTTCAATTCAGTATTGTTTTTGTTGTTATGTTCCATCTAATCAGAACTGCCCTGTAGTAGGCCCTCCAGTGAGTTTTCTGAGGCAATGACGTGTCAGGAAGGCGATTCTCTATCTTCCTCTTGCAAAGCAGCAGCTGATGGATTCACACTGCATACCTTTGGGTTGTCAGTGCAGTTCCTTATCACGAAGCCACTAGGGCTGTAGGGAGTCTAGAAGTCTACAGATTCTGTGGTAAGAAGCTGTGCTGCGATCTTGAAGGCATGTGGTTCAAATCCACCAGCTAGAACGAGGATGAAGGGTGGGCAATCTCCTCTCAATTGATTAGCTGCCTCTGGAAACCTGCTGGAGGAGCGTCAGCTATGGTCAGTTTCAATTCAACAGCACACAACTAGAACAGGACTCTAAAAGGTGGATTACTCTTTGTACTATCCTTGTATATTTGGTCTTGGTTTCTCTACTCATGTTTGTGAGATTCATTGCTAAAACTGACTCGACGTTTTCCGTGCTACTGAATGAAATTTTATTATTGATTAAAAAGTATGATATCACATAAATCTATACGATTTGTTTTAACTATTCACGTGTTTAAATGGTTAAAATTTAATTTCTTATTCTTGATATTTTGCTGCTTTTGCCTTACAGAATATATTCCCTTTTTCAGATGCAGAATTATCCAGAACTAAAACAAAAAATCAAGTTACAAGCTTTACTTTACCCTGCTTTACAGGCCATTGATTCTCACTTGCCATCTCACCTAGAAAATGAGCATGGTATACTTTTAACACGAGATATAGCTGTAAGATTTACAAGTCTCTATTTCACCAAGAATAAAACTCTTACGCAGCTAATGGAAAGAAACCAACATATGCCTCTGGAATCCAAGCATCTCTTCAAGTTTGTTAATTGGAGTATCCTACTTCCTGAGAAGTTTAGAAGAAACCATGTTTATACTGAACCAATTCTTGGCCTATTTAATTTTTCAGTACCAGGACTTATGGATAGCCGAGCATTACCCTTGTTGGCCAATGATTTACTGCTGCAGAACTTACCTCCAGCTTATATTCTCACCTGTCAATACGATCTCTTAAGAGACGATGGACTCATGTATGTCACACGTCTTCGAAATGCTGGCGTTAAAGTTGCTCATGACCACATAGAAAATGGAATTCATGGAGCTTTATCATTGATGACAGCACCATTTTATGTAAGTCAGGGCTTTAAAGTAAGAGATAAGTATATTGCTTGGTTGGATAAAAATTTATAACTAGATATTTATACATACAACCATTAGTTTGTTGACTGTAATTTGTGCTATTTTGTAGTTGTCATATAAATAACAATGTAATTTCTTTCATATTAATCTAGATCAACTGTAAGTTATTGTACATACATCAACTAGTTCTTAATTTTTCTAACTTACTGGAATTGCACATGTAAAAATGCCATTCTGTCCATTTTTCTTATGTTGATATGTACTGTCGAATCAGAAGCAAACCACAACTTACGTGCCTGTGAGTTTTTTGGTTTTTTTTTTAAATTTAGGTTGTTTATTTTTCATTTCAATGAACATCTACAGAGATTTCGGGATTCCATTCATTCATTGTTGCACCTGTGAGTTTTTAGTGACAGTAATTGTACAGCAAGAGATTGTCCATCTTTCTCCAATGGGGCAGTTGCTAGATTTTAACAGATTGCCTTAAATTGGAAGTGTAATTCTTTACCATTAGGTGAAATCAGCAAAACATGCAGCTTTATAACATAAATTTATTTTCATATGCTTATGGAGGTTAGAATCCAAAGTATATCACTGGGACAAAGTTAAGGTGTTAGAAGAATAACGCTCTCTCCAGCAGCTCTGTGGGCGGATCCATTTTTGTCTCTTTCAGATTCTAGTTTGGGTGGTTGTTATTGTGGGCATGTGCCATCAAGTTGGAAGTGACTCATAGCTGATCCTCCAGTAGGATTTCAGAGGCTGTAAATCACCTGGAAGGAGACTGCCCATCCTTCTCCTATAGAAAAGCTGGTGAATTTTACCTGTGTGCCTTTGGGATTGCAGCACACCTTCTTATCACCTGGACACCAGAATCCCTTAGCTTCTAATAGTGGTCAGTCAGCATTCATTAGCTTGAGGTGATCTTACTCTGATCTTCGAATACCTTCAAATCTCTCTCTGCTCAGACATTAAGTGAGCTTTTGCTATCTGTTGTTGTGTGTCGTTGAGTTGCCTATAACACATAGCAACCCTGTGTACAACAGCTCTAAAGTCTGCTCTGTCCTGAGCCAGTCTCAATGACTCCAACCCCCCCCCCCATTGCTCCAGTTAGTGTATCAATCCATCTCATCTGAGGTCTTCCTCTCCTTCATTGTCTCTCCACCCTTCTAAGCATCATATCCTTTTCCAAGGACTGGTCCTTCCTGGCCACGTGTACAAAGTATATGAGTCAGAGCTTCAAAATCCTAGCCCCCAAGGAGAAACTTGGTTTCATGCTCTCCAAAACAGACCTATTTATTTGTATTCTTGGCATTCCATGATATGTTCATGATCCTTCTCCAGCACCACAACTCAAGACGTCAATTCTTCTGTCATTCTTAACAGTTGTCGAGTTCTCTAATGCATAGCAAAGAACTGAGAAGACCATGGCCTAAATCAGGTATAGCTTCATCTCTCTAGACTGGCATCATTGCTTCTCAGTACTCTGGAGAAGTCCCTGACAGAAGATTTTCCTAGTGTAATTTATCTTTCCATTTCCTGACTACTGGTGCCAAGAGTGTTGATTGTAGAGTCAAACAAGCTCAAATTGTTAACAACCTCACACCCATCACATTGCTGCCAGTTGGTCCAGTAGCGAGAATCTTTGTCTTCTTGATGTTGAACTTCAATGTATATTGAAGACAACAGTCCTTGATCTTCTGCAGCAAGGGCTTCAAGTCTCCTCAGTTTCAGCAAGCAAGGTTGTGTTATAACATAGGTTATTGATGAATCTTCCTCCAATCCTGATGCCACATTCTACCTCATAAAGCCCAACCTCCTGAATGTTCTGTTTTGCATAGAGATTGAAAAGGCATGGAGACGCTCCGCAAAATGCCTTTTGCTGATTTCATTGTAGTAACACTGGTTCTGTAAGGAAAACTCTTTAAATTTTATAAAAATTTCTGTGCATAATGTGATCTCATTAATGTATACTTTCAGGTCCTTGGATTTGTGTTTTAGCAGCTAGCAAAAAGCTAGTTAGTCTTAGATTTAGTGACTATTAAACTTTACATTCCAGTAAGCAATGTTTTTCTTTTGACTTCTTAAGAAGTATAAGTTGAGGCAGTCCAACCAATCATTTAATTTTTGAGGGAGTCTCATTTCAGGAGAAGTGTTGGTTCTAGAACCCACTGCTATGGAAGGCTTAAAAGGTGGCTTTAATGATACACATCTGTCAGTCTTCTTCATTGACTTTTTCCTGTCCAAGCCCCGATTATTGTTATTTGATGAAATCATACTGCTATAGTCAGTAGCCATTTGGAGAGTGACATTTGAGCATTTTGACTGAGCCATTGAGCTAGGAACATCGAAACAAAGGTCATCTATTGATAATTTCATTTTATGCACTTTGTGAGTAAATCTAATTACCTCTCATACCATAGACGTTAAATTATTCATTTTTAAAAGTCTCTTCCAAAGAGAAAGAGTAATATGGAAGGTATGTCATACAAGTGTGTTACATATGTGTCATACAACAAGCTCTGATGACTTAATTTGATAACCTTTACATATGTGTCATACAATAAGCTCTGATGACTTAATTTGATAACCTACCTTTGTAATACCTTAGAGGAAAAAAAATACATATTCTAGAAAAATTTTCTCAGCATACAGATTGAATAGGTATGGAGAAAGAACACAGACCTGACACACTCCCTCCTTAATTTTAAACCATATAGGGTACCCTTGCTCTGCTCCCACAACAGCCTCTTGGTCTGGGTCTAGGTTTCACATGAGTCCAATTAAAAGCTCTGGGATTCCAAAAGCTCTCAATCTTAGCCATAACGGAATATAAGCCATACTGTCAAATGCCTTTGCATCGTCAATAGGCATTCTTCTGGTATTATTTACTTTCAGCCAGAATCCTTCTGATTTCAGCAATGAAATCCCTGACGCCAAGGCCTCTTCTATATCTTGCTTGAACTTCTGGAAGTTTCCTCTCTATGTTCTGTTCTTACCATTTTTGAATGATCTTCAGCAGTATTTTGTTTTCATGTGATATTAATGATATTGTTCAATAGTTTTCACATTCTGTTATATCATCTTTCTTGGGAATGGGAACAAATATGGACACCTTCCAGTCCATTGGCCAGACAACTCTCCTTCAGATTTCCTGCCATAGACTTGTTGTTGTCATTGTTGTTATGTGCCGTCGAGTCGTTTGCAACTCACAGCGACCCTATGTACAATAGCCCTAAACCCTGCTCTATCCTGTTCCAATCGCATTGCCTCTGACACACCCA